GATGTTGTTTCTTTCATGATGTATACCATGTTATATACAATATCAAATAAAGAAATGATGCTTACCTATGAGGGGAAACCCCTCCCCCAAAAAAAAAAAAAAAAAAAAAAAAAGACATTTGAGTTATGTTTTTGCTTTTAGTTTAGAAACCTATTTTTAATTAATGATACATTTTGAGAATTGATAATAACAAGTAATTGGAATAACTGATATTAATTTTTATAATAATATTTTATATAGTTTTCTTTTGATAAGCAATTAAAAAATATAATTAAACACTTCATCCATAGGACATTTCTACCACACTTGAAGCATGGATGTGCCAAATCCTTTTTGTGACTTGGAGGCAAATCTGTATAAAGTGGTTGCATTGTTTTTATGCAAAAAGGTATTTACTTCCTACCACCTCCAATACTACTTCACTTGCCATACATCAAGCCATATTTGAAAAGCATGTATGCCAATTCCTATTATAACTTGAAGGCCAACTTATATAAATTGGCTGCAGTGCTTTCATATAATTAGGTACTCATTTACTTTTAGATAGCTAGACATTATTCATAATATAATATAGATTTTTGAATTTCTTTTTTTTTGTATTTCTTGAATAGTGCCAAAAGAATACAGGAGTCGGGCCCCATATAGGAGCCTTGCATTGAACTTTTCCTAACAAAGAGAAACGTATGTCATGCTATTGATATTGTATCTTGCTTTGCAAGTAAAAGTATAATAAATAAAATAAAGCATAATAGCCATTTGCTCTTTTCAAAAAAAAATACAATTAAACCAATAGAAAGAGTAATAATAGAATTTTATTTTTCCTATATAAGTTTTATTTGACATAGGCTTATCTATTTAATACAAACTGATTAACTAAAATAATCAAATTAATCTTTGAAAGAATCAATATTATTAAAAACAATAATTATTAAATAACATTAATTTATATTCTAGAATAGCAATAATCTAATTTGTAAAAATGTTTAATGTAATAACAGGATATATAAATATTAATAAAGTCTCACATATAATACCTTTAATCAATTAAAATAACTAAATAAATAAAATATAATAATTGCTTATTGAAAAAACTTTAAATAATAATTAAATATCATATTACATGCAATAAATTAATATTAATTCAATATTAATATATTAATTAATTAATAATATACTGTTATTAAATTTAAAAGAATTTATCATACTCTTTATTAAATTATTATTTAAAAAAAAATTAATAATATTGTATCCTACTATTTATCACATGTAAACTTGTGAATAAAATTTATGTAATTCTAATATTGTGTAAGCTATAAAATTTTTATATTTACAGTAGCTATATTTTTTGATATTGTCTATATACTGCGTATTTGTTTTGTTTCGAATGGATTTTTTTAAATAATTTGTTACAAATCTGCCTTATAACAAAAAATCTTGGGACAGATCTTATGCTGAAATTGAGGCTTTGACAATAGCCCGCTTCATTGTAAGGATTACCTCGGTGGTACATAAATGAGACAATACCGGATTTTCCAATTCATGCATGCATGCAAGTTTATTGTGTTTATTAGTTTTGCGTTAGAGCAGATTGCACACGTAGATTTAGCGAAGCATGGGTCTGTAGACCAAATAATATTTCCTCAAATTACAAAGCCATTCCCAAAACCAAAGATGAATTCAAACCTTTGAGATGCTGTTTATATTCTTTCGTGCGTCTTCCAGTGGCATTTGAGGTTGAGGCAAAAACATCGAACTTCAGTGCGAGGGCGCAATTGCCACCCAAATTACCGTCTATTTATAAAAATAAAAAGCTGTGCCATCTTACATAGCCTTTGTCGTATGTTCGTTCGATATAATATCGTTGACTCAGCCTCATCCGATCACAAGTTTCTCGGAATTTTTTTCAGACACATGGAAATAATTCCATTTCTATGCGTACAATGAACCCCAGATTTGGGAGGTGCTTTACACTATCGTTTCCTGGTGCCACTACAATCGAAATGTTTTCGACAAGTCAAATACCAAGCCAAATCGCGACAACAAAAAAAAAAAATCCGCCCCTACAAAGTAACCATAAGCCTCTTTTGGAAATCATTCATAGGCACACAGCCAACTTCAATTTCATTTAACTGGACGTCTACGGGTTTTCAAAAAAATTTTTGTTTAAATAACAAAAAAAAAAAGAAAAAAAAAATTAAGGATTTCTGCCGCCTCTTAATAAGAAAATCCCTGGGTGTTTTCGTTATTCTTTGACGAAATTTATAGAAAATATGAAGAAGCATTCTATTATTTTATTATTGGCGGTCTGGGTTGTCCTGATCCAGGGTAAGAAGGAGGGAAAAGCGAGATGGAATGAAAGAATTCAAAGAGATGTAACAAGGTCATTCATTCTTTTGTCACAGGCATCTTTGCCCAGACCACGAGTTGTAGTACGGATAAAACTTTTTGCGTTACAATCACGCCTCCTTTGACTTCAAGTGCGAACTCTTTAGCGACATTCAAATTAGTTGCGCCATCAACAGTTGGGTAAATTTGATGCACCGAATTTTTTCTTTTTGGTTGATTTTTTTTTTTTGATAAATATTGTGTCTCGGCTGTTGACATGATCGTCTATGCTTTAGTTGGGTTTCGGTGGGTATCGGTTCGTCCATGATTGATACTTACATAGTGGTAAGTGCATACCTGAATTTTCCGGTAGAACGTTTAAATTTAAAAGTGTGGATGAGAATCGTTTCGTTTCAAAAAATGTAGATGGCTTGGCCAACCACGACGAATTCTGTGGCCATTTCGCAACGTATTGCCACCTCCTATTCTGTGCCCGTGTTGCTAGGTTCACAAAGTGACATTACCTTGGATCCGTCAAGTGGTATTAAAGATGGATTTTTCACGGTGATTTTCACTCGACCATCTGTGCTCGCGAATTCAACGTTCACCCAAGATACAAAGAATTTTATCTGGGCCGTGCAATCCACTTCACGTCCCTCCGATGACCCAACCACGACCACGATCACCATGCACGATTCATTCGGTTATATTGTATTGGGCGGTGGTATGACGGATCGACAAAAGTTCATCCTCGGCCACGGTAAATAATAAAGAGACCGTTTAGAAAATCGGTAATCGTAATAACCGGGAATTTTTTTTTAGGCGTCATAATGTTTTTGATTTGGGGATTGATTGTTCCCACTTCAATATACATCGTTCGATTTGCGAGAAACACTTTATCCCACTTATATGTCCGATTGCATTGGAGCCTTCAAGTTTTCTTGGCATCACCTTTGATCATCATTGGTTGGTTATTGGTCTTTGGGGCCGGGGTACAATTCAATCCGAGCAACACTCATCACGTGAGTGAAACACATAATTTTTGTAGTGATTCTTTGACTGTCAATAACATCACATCAATCAATCACAATGAACAAACAGGTTCTCGGAGTGGCCATAACAGCTTTATACTTTGGTCAACTTACCCTCGGGTGGATTCATCACCACCTATATGATTCCGAACGTAAATATTTTGCATGGTGGACGAAGCTTCATTGGTAAGGTTTTCATTTTCCGCCTGTAACGAAGCCCATTCACGGCTTGCGTGCTGATTTTTCTCGACGCCTATTTTTAGGTGGTGGGGCAGAATATTGGTGGTCATCGGATTTGTTCAACTTGCCATTGGTTTATCGGAATACAATGCAGGAGGAACAGTTGTGATCATTAGCTACGTCTGGTTCATTTTTGTCATCGCGCTATATATTGGATGGTCGTATTATCTATATAGGCAAAGGAAGGATGGAAGAAAGGATATATTATACACTGGGATACGTCGTGGTGACGAACAAACCGAGAGTTAGGTGCAATTTGTAGTAATTCTGTGCATTTGATTTCATTTTGTCTGTATATACTGTATAATCATCGTGCTTGTCAGTAAAATTGGGTCACGGGAAATGGCCCATGATTTATTTCCTGTGGCTTAATTTTGCTGATAAAGGAATCGTGCGTACGTGCATGCGTGTATTGCTAGTCAAGGTCCTTATTGGTTTTTTGTAAAACAACAGCTGTAAATTAATGTGTATGATAATTAATAGACAGTTTTACGCGCTAAGAGATGTATCATATTTGTATACAATATATTACCCAAATCTCTCATCTATTTTCACTTTTTTTTTGTTTTCACTTTTTTTTTTGTCCTTTAGGTCTTTTGACAACATATACAACTACGTAGGTCATTACTACAATGACTATTACCATCAACATCCCAGTGAACAACAGTGCTGCTACTATAACAATAACTTTTACCTAAGCCAATTAAAATTTCAAATGTTGGAAAATTTAGGAATTCAATATGAAGTTACTTTATTATGCGTATTAATATTGTTCGTGATGGGATTTGTTGGTGGCGTGTGGATTATCAGTTATACCAATCAGAACCTTGGTTTCTGATCTAATTTTATTTTCGGAAAATTTTCTTTCCTTTCCTTTCCTTCTCAAAATTCTTCTTACAATAAACATTTGGAATTCATACATATCGGGGGTTTTTTATGTCATACAACACGCATTCACATAATCTGGTTATGGTGATTATGCGTATACGCGTTTTTTTTTTTCTTTTTCTCTTTGGAGATACAATTTTATTTTATTTTATTTCTATCTTTTACACACACACACGCACACACACACACACACATTCCTTATTAGACTGTTCTCTTGTCATGTTTGTGGCTTCTTTTTTGTTTTGTAGTTTCAATTAAGGCTTTGTAGTCAGCGGTTGTTCCGGGCATCCTAGAAATGTTGTTGATTTTCAATCTTCCCAAAGGTTCGTATTATTTCTCAGTGATCCATTCGACAATTATCCACCGATTAACAACAATTCAACGATACAGGCTATTCACGTTTCTCCACGATTCACCAAATATTTACAACTACCCTTTTCCCTTTTCCGATGTTTTTATTTACAACCATTGACTGTGGCTCTATCCGCTCTTTTGTTTTTGTGGCTTCTTATTCGTTTTTCTTGCTTCGCACAAGAAAACCTCCACGCATTCATGTAACCCCCTTTTTTTCCACTTTATAAATAATTAACTTACCATCCGAGTTATCATTATTCACCATTTGTAATATATATATATATTCTTTTACATTCGCAATAAAGTTATTCTGAATTCTTTGGTTTTGGTTAAAAATATTCTTTCGACGGATATACGTGTGTTACACGCGGAGATGATTTATGTTTTACCGGAGCGATCGCATTCTTCAAACATGAGCTTGTAATTTTAAAATTTGTTATTTATTAATTACGGTATATAATAATATTTTGCGAAAAGATTTTTTGAGTAACAGTTTATCTTTGAACATGTTAAATCTTTAATCTAAAAAAATTTGATGATAGTACAGTAACCAAAATGACGATAGTCCTTGTCTAAATATGGTAAATGTAATGATGATTTGTCGATCGATATAAGGGTAATTTAATTAACAGGTTGCTTAATTAATTCTCAAATTTCGAAAATGGATTCGGTATTTCGTCATCATTCTCCGACCGAGGATTGCGTTTTTTATTATCTCTACTTTCCTCGATCATCCGACGATTCTGACGATAGATTTTTCGAATTCCTTCAAGAAACTAGTGCATTGATACTTTCGGAATTAGATCAATTTTTGAACGGATATATTTGGCAGAAAGAACCGTTTGGATTGAGAATTGTAAAGAATGATTTAGGTAATTTTTATTTTTTTCGATTTGAAAATGAGTCATCTTTAATTAATCCTATGTCAACTTTGCTCTCCATATAACAATAGGACCAAGTTACCCTTTCCTACATGGCAGAACGGTGTTTGGCGATTGCATCGAGGACGAACGATTTATTGTTTTCTTGTTACGTCAGATTTCAGAAAAGTACCCGGATATTGTGATAAGGTGAGGTTGAGCCCGTTTCCCAAATCGAGATGAAATCTTGTCGCCCCAACTTACCAAAAAACATGTCCTCATCAGCGTTTCAGATAACGATGGGGAGTTTTTGTTGATCGAAGCCGCCATGCAACTTCCCTCTTGGCTAGATCCTAGTAATGGTGAAAATAGGGTGAACGTTCAAGCGTATTTGTATTCCTCTGTCTGTCTGTCTGTCTTATCTTTTGTTAATCTTCATATAAATTATCATTACCAACCACAAAAGGTTTTTATACATCGAAATGAACTTCACATAATTCCTTTGATGGAGCCGACAGATGGAGAATTGCAAGTTTCGACGGAAAAATTGACCGTCGAAAGAGCAATTCAATTAGTGCGTGATGACAATATTCACACCAAGGCTGATGACGAAATACAAACGACTGTGTTTGCAAATATAAGGGGGTATGTAAACATGTGAGTTTACATATCACAAGTTGTCGTAACATATTTCCTAATTCTGAAAAATTCCTTCAGGTATCCAGATGTGATCAAACAAAATATTCATCATGCCCGATGTCATGTTCCAAGAAGCATAGCTCATTTATTATACCACAATCCGCAATTGATTGCCCCGGCCGTAGAAGCATTTTACACTCGCGATCCTATCGCATTGAAAGTCTGTATCTTTATCTTCTGCTATGCGTAATCTAATAATGCAGGAAATTTTTAATGTCATATGATATCTATTTATTTATTTAAACAGGCATGCCAAAAAATGGAAAAATTTCCGGTATCCACATCAATCAATGTTACTGTAAAATTTACAAAAGTGTTATATGCTCAGATGGTAGGCCAAAGGTTCCAGCCGCCAAAACCTTTCAAACTTCCTCACAAGACTTCCAATGAGTATCAAGCCGCTGAGCTAGGAATGAAATTGGTAAGATCTTTTATGCGCACCGACATTATTTGTAGTTTATATTTATATATCTTCATATTTTAGGCATGTGGATTCGAGATACTGTGCACAGATAAATATTTCGCTGAATTGCAAACCAAATCCGACGATTTGGACATTGAGGTATGACTATTCGTGATCAACCTTTTGTCTGTTATCCCGATGCTTATCAAGTATCTCACGATCATAGAAATACCCTTTTGATTTGGACTCATCATGGCGAGCGTTTCACGCTAATCTATTATCGCGTGGTTATTATCGCGGTGAAATATCGGGATCTAAACTGTACAAACAGTTGGACGATGTTGCTAAGAAGCAATTCTTGCAAAATAGAAGCCAGCCAATTTCAACGTTAAAGTATTTATTTATTTATTTGTCTGTTTGTTTATTTATGGGAAAGAAATCTTTGGTATTATATTCATAAAAATTTCTTGCTTTCGTTTTTTTTTTGGACATAGCTATGATGAAATAAAAGTCACCTCTTCTCCAGTAGAACAGATTAACGAAATATTGAGTAGACCATTGGTCCCAGATGAATTACTGACAGCGGATAAGACGCAAGATGACGATTCGTGGTTGAATGTTGATCCAAAACAGTTGGAGGACTTGCTTGAAGCAACAAAAGGTCATATGGGGTATATGAACTATGAAAAGTCAAAAGAAGGCAATGTAGGATGATGTGGTCATTGATTACTTTCTATCGCTAGAAGATATTTTTCATTAATTACTTAGTACATTTGAAGTCAGACGACGAATTAAATGTATTTGATTTAACAAACATGATCGATAAACTGGAGAGTTTTATGGACGATGAAGTTGCGGGTATCGAAGGTGCCGAGTTTAACGAGTAAGTTGGCATTTTTATTTCTTGATTGTATAAGCGATGATTGAAGAATCAAGGTAACCGAATCTATAAATTAGCGAACATGACTCTGATGAAGATTTTGAAGATTTCGGTATTAATGGAAATAATGATCAAATTCAATTTGAGCCTACCGAGTTCTTAAGAATAATGCGGCAAACATTAGGTGTGTATGACACGTGGTTTTTTTATAACATTGCCCCTGTTCTAAGTTTATTAATTACAAAATTGTCCTTCTAGGGATTACGGATGAGGAATATAGGGAATTGGCAAATGCAAAGATAAAGTTACAACAAGATGAACTGGAACAATACGCAAAAGGTAAGCATTAAAGGGGTTTTGTATTGTTCGAAAAGTTACGTGGGTTCACAATGTACACTACATGAAAACAGCGGTATTATTAATCTCAACCATTATCGCATAGACCAGTCACAGTACACCACCACCGGAGCATCACAAAGTGCCAAAATCACAGAGTTAACCGATGACGACATGGAGACATATTTCGAAGCTCTAGATTCTGAACTATCGTCATCGAAAGTATATGAATCATTTGTTCGCTCGCCAGGTCAAATACTCGGAGACAGTGAAACGGATCTTGGCGACGATCTAAACGTAAAAAATGATGAGAATAATGATAGTGACGAAGAATTGAATAAACCTGTTGACATTAATTTAAACTTGGCAAAGAATATTTTAGAAAGTTTTAAATCACAAGAAGGATTGCCGGGGCCTGTGGGAAATATGCTGGGAAGAATGGGTGTTGGGGTGATTCCCGTGGATTCAGATGATGACGATGATTATGTGGAGTCTTCCGATGAAGATGAATAGGCGGAATTGGGTAGATGATGACGGTGAATCATTGACAATTTTGATAATTAGACCAAGATTGGTAGGATGAATTTAGATAATATAAAATTGTATAGCTTTTGCTAACTAGTTAAAATAATTATATTTCTTTCTAAAATTTATACAATAAAATACACTACATTTTAGCCAATGTCACACTAATTTTTAATAAAATAATATAAACCATTATAAATTAAATCAATTAGCTCGTTTTGCTAATCCTTTTTGATTATTACTTCAAAGCAATATTCTTATTTCTGTGTAATATTGTATATGATATTTATACTCTCCCTAAAATACCAGATTCACTACTCATTGGGTAAAGTATATCAGTGCAATTCATATAATTGCGTAAGATTTCTCTGCATCGATGGCTGAAACTATAAGAGAAAGAGTACCTCTCCACATCCTTCGATGGTGATTGTGACAAGTCAAATCAAATGATTCGTCATTAAAAATCACTCGCCAATTCACAATGTGATTGTGTATCATAGCAACTCTAAGGTGATCTGAGGTTTTCGCCCAAGGTATTGCGATGCAGGCCGAATATTTCTATGAATATATGTTTGGTTTTAAATGAAATATCATGTTTATTTACTTCTGATATTTTCTCAAATCTTACCCATACGTAGCCGTGAGCTAAAAGATCGGCTAGTGTGACGAGTTTAGTATAAAAAACTGTTACCTATCTTAGAAAATGTTATTTATTAATAATTATTCAAAAAATACTTGAATCTTACTAAGGAACCACATTTATTTAGTATTTACACGTTAAATTTTCTATGTACGAGTATAACGTTGTGGAGAATGTGGGCGATGCAATACTGTATCGCGTTATGTAATTTAATGTGCCGATGAACGAATTAGAAAGAGAAAAAATATTGTAGATAATTACTGTATTATCCAGCTGGAATGAACTTCATAATCTCATTAGAAATTTCATAAACAAATATATTAAAAAATAGAAGTCAAAATAATTTAAGAATTTTCATTCCAAGGCAGAAAAAAAATTAAAAAGTCAAATAAAAAAAATTAATATTATTATCTCTAAACTTAAAAACAACTGCATAGCAATACAACTTCCAGAACTAGAATTATGTAATCTATATAATACAGCTAATAGCAACTTGAATATATCTTTTCAAGATCTAAGAAAATTTAAGAAATTGTTAATCTAAGAAGTTCTAGCTTAAGTCTAACAAGAATCATTAAAAGAATTTTAACTAAACCAAGAAATAATTATTAAAAACTTTTATAACAAATTCAAAAGTTATATTAAGAAAGTTCTGAATTCTTAAAAACTCAAAATTAATTTCACAAAAATAATGAATGACAATGATCAACTTGAAAAAGACTTTACTATAGTTCAAGAAACTATTAACAAATACTTCAAAAATATTATATATAAAAGATACTTTAACCTAAAAGACTTTTTAAACTGTAAAATAAATATTTCCCCAAATCAATTAACCAAGCTATTTACAATTAAGTATTTCTTCCTTTTAATAATCACTTTATCAATAAAGCTATTTAGAACCTATCTAAAGAAAAACCCCAAGAAAATTTGAAATCAACTATAATATAATTAAAATTCCCAAAGATAAAATCACAAATTATCTTATTTCTACTTCAATTAGATACAATTCTCCTTTTTGGTTTTCTATCTCTAGAAACAAACTTCAATTATTCTTATATCAAAAAAACTAATATGAAGCCACAAGCTAAATAATATCAAACTAATATTTTTAGTCAACTCTGTAAGAAAGATCTTTATAGGAAAGTTAATAAAAAACTTTTAAATATTTTGAAATTAAACTTAGTTCTATCTGAATACAACCATATATAACTTTTTAATCAGAGTATACTTGAGCTTTTAACCATTGTTAAATTAGCTATCCAAGTTATAAATATTAGCAACAAAAAGTTTTGATTCACTTTTTTTAATATTGCCAAAGTATTTAATTCTACATCAATACTAGCTATCAAAATCTATAGAAAAAATCAAATGTTCTTTACTACTTATTAACCTTTTTATTAATCTATTTATAAATTAAGAAGTATCAACTAACTTTTCTTTTGAATCTACAAAATTCTTTCTAGTTAATAATAACATAAAACAAGAAAAAGTCATTTCATCAATAATCCAAATTATTTTTTATGATTCTTTTGTTTCTAAACTAATCAAACACAAACTAGTACAATATTTTCTGACTTCAAATGCTTTTGTTTATATAAATAACCTGGTTCTGATTATTGATTCCAAGTCCAAAATGAAAGTCCTTGAAATAACCAATTAATTTTTTCAAATCAACAGTATTATATATAATAAAAATAAAATCAAAATTATTAATAACATCAAAGTTAAACAAAGCAGCCCCAAAATAATCAATTTTAAAAACTATTTAGTACAAGTACTCAAATTATATAAAAGTACTAAATACTTTGAAATACTTATATCTTTATAAAATCTTTTCAAGTTCAATAGAAAAACATTCAATCAAGTAATCTGTTAAATCTTAAAAGAGCTATTTAAATATTAGTAAAAAAGAGAGATCAAACAATATATTTGCAAATAAGTAATCTTAGAAAAGTTTAAATACTTTCTATATATATTCTTTTTAAACAGCAGCCTTTTTAATTTAATTTATACAAAAATCCACAAACTTATTAAAGCCACATATAAAATTTTATTCAAATGTTTCGATTTTATAATAATTAGCCATAGCAATTTAAATATATCATTTTTTAAAGAAAGATAAAAACATAATTTTATTAACAATTTAATAATCAAACTAGTTACTTTTTTATTAAATATATATATAATATAAACTATTCAATCTATCTAAAAAAAAATAATAATCTGGTTTTGTCCAATTTGTGATCCAGATAAATTCAATCAAAACAATTGAATATAAGAATCCTAACGATTCTCTTCAATTCTGTATTCGATTCTCAAGTTTATATTAAATTTAATAGGTGGGGTATACCCCACCATCATTTTTAATAGTGTTCCAAACCTTATATGATTTCCTGCATTTCTGTTTGATTCCAATTTTCAGAACCATAATTGGATATTATATATAACTATAGCTGCAAAGAATTTAAAAATCTAAATCTGTTTGTCAAATTGTTTTTTTCATCCTGAAAATATTTACAATAGTATTGGTTTTCTTTTTAAAAATATATTACCTCAATTTAAAGAATCAGCAATAAAAATATTAAATGCTTTCAAGATATTGAATTTACTATCTAACTCTTGTGATTTAATAACTCCTTTAAACTATTTTGATCACAAATTATTTCTTATACTGATATTGTATATTGTAATTCAAAACCAATTTGGCTCAAAAACTCAATAATAATAATAATCTTATGGATTCTATAGATTTATTTCAAACTTAAAATTACTCTTTTAACTTTTTTACAATAGTAATTTCTTCATCAAAATATATAGAAAATACTTTAACACTTATGAAAACATATTTTTAAAAGGTAGATATTATACAATAAATCCTAGCAACAATCATATCAAGTATTACTGCTGTTCTTTAGACTGATATTCTAACAACTCATACTCAATAATTTTCTTTAGCACTAACATTTTTCTTATTTTGAATAATTAACAAAATCTTATCTAACTCAAAATATTATCTATATAATATCATAAAAAAATTAGCAATCTTCCTATCTAAAAATAAGTAAATTTTTCACTTAATAAATATTATACCTGTTTTATTATCTCCTTTATTACTTTAAATAATTGGTCAATATAATTTATATCATATTTAACTTTTAAACAAGATGTAATTGTCAATAATACCAAAATTACAATAACAAATCCAGAATTACCAATTAGTAATATGCTTCAAATTATCTATAAAATTCTATAATAAAGCCTTATCCAATATACTATTAAGATTAGAAACAATAAAAATATAATTTAAACTCTTTTTAATTTTTCTAGAAAATAAACAAAAATTAGGGAAGAATTCCTATCACTAGTTTAAACTATCTAACCTACCAGTCCAATTTTTGTACAAGTATAATTTTTTCACTTTAATATCAAGAATTAAATATCTGATAATATAACCTTTGATATCATCAAATCTAAATTCAAGTTAAGAATAATTAAGTATATATAATAAAATAATTTATTCTTAACTTTGCAAAAAACTTCACTATAAATTATACAAACCTGGAAAGTTATTCAAGATGATATTAAAAAATCTTTAGTATTATCAAATCCTATATAATCTGTGAGAACTCTTTTGTACTCAAAACATTTAACTAGTTTTTTAATATTTTTAGTTTTAAAATAGTTAATTTATTAAAAATATATATATATATATTTTTTAACCCTTGCTATCAACTCAGATACCTTTATATTACTTTTCTAGTCTCCCAGTTAGGGCTCCTAATGATATCAATTCGATACCACTTCGATACCAGTTCGATACTTAAATTTACTATAAAAACATATGAGTA